AAAATGTGTTTAACTTTTCTTTTTAAATATTATGTTATTTTTTTACATAGTTTGATAATTAATAAAATCTTTACTGTACACATTAAAAGTAATAATTGCGTATTAAATTGTTCGTAAAATTAGATCTAATGTTGAAGAAAATTATGGTAACAATAATCTTATATTTTATGATACTAAACTTTAAAGATTCGTATTCCTAGTCGTTATAAATTCTTATTTTTAATAATATTCACTATTTTGGAAGAGAAGTCTAAATAGCTTAATTATATTGAAAGTGACTAGAAATGTTGCTACTTCTTTTTTGGCTATTATATATTTCTTATTTTGGCAAGAATGACGTGATGTAAATTTACGAAATTGTGAACAAGTTTTTAGAAATATTCTATTCAAAATTTATAATACTTATTTTCGAATAATACTTTCTAAAATTACTTATCTGTACATTAAGCGATTTAATGGATATACTTTGTATTTACAAAACAATTTACTGTCTGAACTATATACAGAAAAATAATATTATAATGGGAGGGGGAAGTTGTGATTTTAAAATTGTGGACCATAATTGGTGATTTATTTTGAACATGGAATGACTAATTTTCAATCTTAGTGGGCATGAATTATGAGTTTAAGTGCAATGAAAGTATTAGAAATAGGTATAGAACAATGGACATGGGGTATGTAGTAAAATTAATTATTTCACAATTACAAATAGTTTTTTTCCAGTCAAATGTGGAAGAAAGTTTGAACCTCACATGCTGATTATTCAAACGAAGTTTATAGAGAAAGTTGAGAACCTGGGATGGACGGAATCCATATTATGGGATCTAGATGATTTGAAATATGAGTAAGGAGCCCAGGTGTGGTTGAAAAATTTCTACAATGCATAAATGATTATATGTAAGTTACTATTATTTGAATTAAGAAATCCTAACTTAATTATGAGATCAGCTGAGGCTTTAATCATCAATTAAACTATACAGTGTCTACAAAATAATAAATATGAAGAGGAAAGAATTTTTAGTCAAATGTGATAGGGAATTGGAAAAGGATATGATTGCATGTATTAATATCTAATGGTTTTAAAAAGTTGTAAAAATTGGTAGATCAAAAATGATATGATGAAACGAAAAGAAAGTGCTTAATGGGCGTAAGTATAGCAACATGAGTGCGGAAACGTATGTCTACCCGAGTATTCATTGGATACATATTAGGGAGTTACACCTTCCGCTTCCTTGTTGAATAAGATGGGCCCCAGAAGTATCTGCAACACAATATATATTTAAATGGTACCTTAATGTAATGATATTACTTTTCAAATCTAATCAATGTTAAGATAATTTAAAATAATATGAAGAAATTTCTTATATAATGAAATATCTTTAAAGATAATTGTAAATACCAACCAATTTGTATCCAAGCACTTTATCTTGGAATGTTCCTTCAATTATCTATGATTATATTTTGCATCTAATTTAAAGGCAATTCATGAAAAGAGTTGCTCCATGATAGTTTTCCCTTTACTTTCTCAACATTTTTACATATGCAAAGATTTTGCATTTATATAATAAGTGAGGTATTGACATTGTAAAACATCACTTATTATAGTTTTACTGCTCCAATGATTCACATCCAAATAAAACATATTCTTCTCTTGAGGATGCACAGCTAAAGGCACATATGTAGAACCCATTGCAACATTCCAACTATGAGTACCAGGACAACTTCTTACTTCCAATATTTTACTATGTTCAGGTAATAATTCTCGTAAATCTTTAGTTAATCTTAATTCGAATCCTGATAGGTGTGTGTTGCCTCCAGTAAGTAATATGTGTGAAAGGCAATCGTGCAATATTTCTTCTGATAAACCAGATGTTACATCTTTTATCACTTGTGGTAAACCAAGATTGATATACATCATTTCGGGAGCGATATATAATTCTGAACCCAAAGAAACTCTCTGGAAAATGTTTAAATTTGACTGTAATGTTGAATTTCACAACGATTTTTTTACATTTACGAATATACATATAAAATTCACTAACCAAGAATTGCTTATTATCAGCATAGCTTCGAACTCTAACTTTAATACATTCTCTAGTTTTTTGTCCTACTCTCTTTTCTTCATTTTTAATATTGTAACTCAGTCTACACCTTTCTTTAACAGGTACTGTGTCCAAATATGATATAGGAATATGATAACATTCTTTTAGATACCAATGCATTGCTTGCTTTAAATGATAAGCTACATGCCAACCACCAACAGGTAGCAATCTCCATCGCTGTGGTATAACACGTCCACCAATTACAACAGCTACGGTTGTACTTAGAGCACCACTATCAACAACCACACAAGTTTCTACATCCAGCATTGTACATGCTGCCAAAGGTTTAGGAACCAAACATACTCTGCAAAGTTTATTAAATATGAAAATAATATTTAATTAGAAATAGTGCAATATGTAAATTATATTTTTATAATAAATATCTTTTTATCTTACCTTGATACTTTAACTTCTTGGAATAAGTAATGCAATAGTTGTTTTCTGAGAGTTGGATGCATAGCTAATGGTTCACAAAACATAAGCACTGCATTGGGTTTTCTTAATGTTGAAGTTAAGCTCATCTGATGGAATAAATGGCCAACAAATGTTTTAAGAACAGGAAATGTTCCATCACTTAATAATGCTTCTGCTGGACTAACCAGATCAACATTTGGAATACCAAGTACTTCAACAGTATCTGTGCAATATCCATTTATAAGTTTTTCATAAATTGGATTTGGCCTTGCATAACATGTGGGATCATTTTGATGAGTAATTAATCTCTTTTTTTCTCTATATAATTTTACAGAATTACAAAAAACACAAAATGGTCCACTAGGTCTTGGAATTTTAACAGTTGCTAATTGAGATAATTTCAGTAATTTTAACTTTTTAGCTAATGACATGCCATCACATTTTGGACGTGTACTACTGCTTGGAACATTTTGTGTTTGTTCCAAATATGTTTCATTATTATATTTAGGTACACCAAACATTGAAAAATGTCTTCTTAATTCAAAATGTGGCGTAATAACCCATGTGTATTTATTTCCAATTTCAATTACTACTTTTGCACTAGAACCTTCAACACAATTTCTTTGACATGTGTAACCACTACAGTGGCGACATTTTGGAAAATGAATATTTTCTCCCAATGTAATTACCATGTGTAATCTATAACACATTGCTTTAAAACTGATGCTAAGTAGTTGCAGACACTTTATATCTGGAAATCTAAAGTGCACTTTTGAAATTAATTGTAGCCACTTCATTTTCCTAAAAAATATGAATAATTTCTATACATAACTAATAGCAGTGGTTTTTTTTTTTAAATTTCCAGTTTAAACATTACTGTACAGATTTTAGTGAAATTAATTAATAAGAAATCTCTATTGTAAAAGAAAATTTTATTTGACCATTACAAAAATTGCAAATGTTATGCAATTTTTATTATTTCACTAAAAACTTACAATAACACGAACTTTTATTTATTTTTCAGATAAGTTATTGAACTTCTACGTAATTTTGACATAAACTTAACCTCAAACTTACCACAGGTAATCGGTATCTGAAGTTTTTCTTAAGTATTTGCACGTACTACCGAAAGCAATAATATCAGGTACATCACAATATAATAAAATTTTTATCCAAATTTCTTCAGGGAAGATCGAAGGATCCATAATTATTAATAAAAACGATACAAAAGGTACAATTAACAGTTACTAATAGAAGATTGCAGACACTCCCCAGAAACAGTGAATACGTTAGTCAAGTTCAAGGTTACAATGGTGAAAATAGTGAATCAATATGTTATCAACGGGTGGTACTTCAATAAGAATTACTATAATTATTATATAACCGATAATACGTACTGCTTAGCGAAAGTATTACGTAGTATATTTAATAAAGACATCGCAGTCGGTACTTTACTGTTAGACATCGTTGTAAATATTTCTTGTATTATAATTTTGTCAAATAACTAAATCAGGAGATACGGATATATTTATCCGAAAAATATGGTGATTATAAAAAACACCTTATATATTTGTATAAAAAATAATTATTCAGTACAAAATTTATAAAGTAACGCTGTACCTTTTAAAAACTTATATTACGATTATAATACTCGCGTATCTAATACTGACTGTTGTTACATTCATTAAGTATCTTTCTCTTAATTTTAACTTATGAAACTGTAAGAAGTGTTTTGATATAGGGATTTTCATGAGACAAAACTTCTTCTTTAAATGTTGAGATTTTATCTTCCAAATCTGTATCAGATAAAGATGTATCTAAATTCTTGCATTTATTAACAAATTCTGCAATGAGGGCTTCAGCTTCCTACAAAATTGTTAATAAATAAGTTTTACTACTAACATTTAAGAATAGTATTTTAAGATTTTCTAATTATTTAAAATACATGAATCTTTTAAAAAATGTAAAATCTTCAGCAAATTGAAAAATTGAAAGTAATGTTACCTTAATAATTTTTTGTTTCTTTTGAGGATTATCAGATCCTTCAAAAATTGAGTCTTGATAATCTTCAAGCTCCGTTTGTTTATGCTTAGCAAACTAAAAAGAAATTTTACTAGTTAATGTTATCATGAAAGTATAAATATACAAAGTTTAAATATATTTTACCTCTATAACATCTTGTGGGAAATTAGCCATTTTAGCAACATGTATACCGAAACTTTGATCACATATACCTGGTTGTACTCTATATAGTAATGTTAATTTATTATCGTCTACAAGAGCTGTAACGTGTTGATTTTTAACGGCAGATATTTCTTCTAGTTTAGTTATTTCATGGAAATGTGTTGCAAAAAGACAATAACATTTAATTTCCTTTGCTAAATATCTATAAAAGATTATGTAATTGTAAATTACATAAAGAGGTATAATTGGTAACAAAAGGATGAGTTTTAAAAATGGTGTTCGTATCTTACTCGGCGATTGACCACGCTATACCACAACCTTCATAAGTAGACGTTCCTCTGCCTAATTCATCAATTAACACAAGAGAATTGCATGTTGAAGTCTATTAAAATAGTATGAAATTTCAAATGTAAATGATTTTGGTTTAATATTTTATATCATGAATGATAATTATTTCAATTTACCTTCAATATAGTAGCAGTCTCTATCATTTCCATCATAAATGTAGAAAGTCCTTTTAATTGAGAGTCATCAGCCCCTACACGGGCTAAAATACAATCCAGTAATGATATTTTTGCATCGTCACACGGAACAAAACTTCCAATATGTGCCATTAAGGCAGTAACACCAGCAGATCTTATATAGGTGCTTTTACCTCCCATATTTGGTCCAGTTATAATACAAAAATGACATTCTTCTATAATTTCAACAATTATTACAGAAAATAACGAATACATTTTGGTATTTTGATATTTATAAAAACAAAAACATTACCCCTTTTAAAATTGACATCATTAGCTATATAATCTACTCCTTCTTGAATTTCTAAGCATGGATGTCGAACTTGGATAAGCTTAAACTCACCGACTTCACTAGGTAACATTTCAGGGCGAACATACGGTTTATTAGCAATTATAGCAGCAGAAGCAAAGGCAGTAAGCACATCAAGACATGCCAATACATTTCCAATTGTCTTTACTGGGCTACTATAACCAGCTGCACAATGATAATATAATTATATAAAAACAGTTTGTTTCCTTATTTTAATTCTTTACTTATATATACAAACCAGCAATTTCAATTATTTCTGTAACAACTTTTTTTTGTTCTACTGTATATTTATCTCTAGCAGCAATATACTCGTCATTTAAATCATTTAATTTGTTGCTTCGGAATCGTACGCCGCTTTTATTGGAATCCAAAATAGTGTATTGTTTTTTATTTCTTAATACCTTCTCTTCCTTCAATGTAACACGGAAGTAGTATCCAAGTAGTTGATTTGATTCTAGTTTTACTATTTTACCAGCTTCAGTTGAAAGATCATCAGCAACTTTGCCCAGCTGTGATTGTAATTTTTCCTCCACTTCATTCATAGTACTTTTTAATTCTAATAATATCAATAAATGTAAGTCTATACACAAAAATAATTTTGGATATTAATTGTATTATCATATATGTACCTTTCAATGTATCATCAAATTCTGGTTGCACTAAGAAATCTCCCCTTTCAGCTGCATCTAAATCAATTGTTTGTTCAACCATTTGCTGAAACTTGTCCATGTCTTTGATAAGTTCATTCAAAGGATCAATAAACATTGTTTTTAAGGCTACTACATTTGCATTAGAAAATTGTTCTACTAGACTAGGTAAATGTGTCATACACATGTAAATTCTGAAAA